GCGTTTACCTTCATAGGAATTGTTTTTCTTGTTGTGAGGTCCTTAATTCATATTTTAAGTTTTGCCTCTTAACCCTGAAACATGTTGTTTATATATCGTTATTAATATGAACATTTAGAAGTATTTTCCTTTGATTTTTATAAGCAGGGTATTCTAAAATTATATGTTTTTACAAAATATATTTATCACATTTTGTAGATTGTTTTACTCCAATACGTTGAAGGTATACTTTGCATAATCCATGATTTGCGATAAGTCTAGGAAAATTCTTTATTGTCTTTCGACTCATAAAACCTGTGGAAGACTCCTGATAATGCTGGGACCGTTTATCTTAACATCAATTCCTTTAACCATCGATAAAGTAATCCGTATCTGGCTGACAAAAAAATTATATATTTATGAATTATTTATTTCAGATACATTCGTATGCATAAGGAATCCTTTGCAGGCTTAGCTGGTTTCGCCGTTGTCGAAAATTCTGGTAACCTTGGAGTGTTTTTGGAAGGAGCACTACCAGGACCCAACCACTCCGTTCCAAGGACACGGCTGAAATAAACCGACTTGCTGTGTTCCTTTGTTCGCTTCGCGCCGCTCGTTCCCCGCGCTAAATAAATAAATTCCAATTGGATTGAGAGGTGCAATTCCAATTCCAATCGGAGTCCGAATTTAAATCATGACCTATGCAATACGCATATCCTTGTTTTTTTTATTTGCATTACTGAAAGAGCTTATTAATTTCGTGTTGAACCAAGCCTACGGTGTGCCGTGTTATATATGAGCAGCAGACAAGGCAATCAAACGGACCATTCATTTGATTATTAATTATTTTTATCTCTCAATTATATCTGCGTAATAATTACTAGTAGGATTAATTCCGCTCGAATCCTCCTGCCTATCTTCCTGTATAATCGCGTTTTAATAACTTCTGTTAGTGATTTTTATTTATTTACTTTAAATTATTGCATGTAATAGGAGAGTTATCGAAGTGTATTGTGAGCAAGGAATGAAATCAAGTAGAATCAGGAATTCTCCCACGTTGGTTTTAATTAAACCACAGAGTGCATGTTGTTTATTATAAGTATGATTAAAAAAAACTTATACCTATAGTTTACTTACTATCCAGTATTTCTTGCAATAAATTACTTAGAGTTCTTGTATCACCTCATTAGAGTTCACTAAGTATAATTAATGTTAGAAGTATTGAAGTAATTTAAAACGTATCGAATGACGTTCATTAATAACTCATTACTTTGTAACAAATGACCAATGTCCTAATATCAGAAATTTGTAGAAATATCCTCTCAAAAAATGGCAACGACGCTCCAAATCTTGTGTAACTTGCTATGATTCAACAACTGGTCTCAACACAAATTGAATAATATTTTAGGATTACAATAGGTTCCGGAAATCCACTAATACTTATTGTGTAACGCCAGTCAGTTAATGTGGATCTTAGTTCCAAGTGAATCATACTGCAATAATTTTCACCTGTAGTTGTTTTAGAATGATTAAGCTATACTGCGGAATACGGTCGTACAGGTGTATTCTCATATCAGATGTGAAATGATCCTGATTCCTTGACGCTTAACTTTGAAAATTATTTATTTTTATTTCTGAATGATATTTACAACTGTATTAAAGAAATACATTTAATAATTTTGAAAATATGGATATAATGACATAAAAACACTTGCTGAATAACTACCCAATGGTAGCACACTAATGACATGTCTACATTAGGAGATCACGGTGCCATCTTCTTTTCAGACGCCTCGGAGGGTTATCAGAAATTGAAGATGAAGTAAGCTTAGAAACGAGAGGGTTGGGATGATTCTGATGTTTATTATGGAAGGATAGGTATCTGGATTGGGCCAGATCTGAAACATAAGAAACATTAAGTTCATTATGGATGGTTTTATATGTAACAAAGTAGGGAGCATTGAGGATTTTACGAAGGATTTTGGATTGTAAGAATTGGATACGAGAGGAATTCGATGGTTTAGTGGAGCCCCATAGCTCAACTCCGCAAGTCCAAATAGGCCTTATTATAGTCATGAATATGAGTCTTTTGTAATTAATTGGAAGTTTAGAGCGTTTGTCTAGTAAGTGCTGAAGTAATTGGAAACGTCGAGCGGTTTCTTGTCGTTTCAGTCTGGTATTAGGATGAAAATTATTTTTAAATAAATTTTTCTCAACTTGGTCATAAATTTACTATCATGATGACTTGGAGTACTAGATAGTTAATGAACAAATTGCGATATAACATGGAAATAATTATAATGAGGGGAATTAATTCATTTGATTTTCCATGGTATTTTACTATTGGTCATTTAAAGTAACAGTGGAATAATGTGTGCACATTGCTGGAGTGCACAAATAAGCTTTCCTTTCTTTCACTTGCCTGATTTTCCTGCAGGTATGCTTAGTGTTCGCACCTGAAAGAGTAGATAATCTTCCAAATGATGACTTGATCATAGGATTTGTTGACGAATTAACAAAAATATGGGCGTACCGACCGTCAAAAAAAACTTTGAGAAATGATATATAAAGGTGTTTTTGGATTCTATAGCGTCCTCTACTCGTTGCTATCAATAACGTCTTCTAGATTAATAGACTGATAATGAGGCACTTTAAGATAATTATTTATATAAAAATCTGCCGACCAAATGTATAAATATTTTTTCTATTTAGTTGTTATTATGAAAATTGAAACGTAGCGCAAAATATTGTTGAGTTGGCAGTATTTTATTTGTGTAAGAGGAAATGTATATTCTGGCGAAGGGAGCGGCGCTACTATTCGTGAAAGGGTTCCATTCGGATGGGAGATAAAATATGGAGTTTGCACAAGATGTTTACTCTAGAAATACGACCTATCAACCGATATCATAACGCCTTCCTTGTCTGTCCTTGTTATTCTTATTTCCAACCAACATCTGTCTGTCCATTTGTCCATTATCCCAAACCTAATTTTTCTGTATCATATATTTCAATATAGAAGTAGGTATTGTTTTCTGTACTGCTATTAAACAAACATCTTTGTAAATATTTATAAGCATTTCTAATTGCGTTACAGTCCTTTCGGGCCAACATGATAGTTGATCATTAGGTTAGGTTACCAGTTGTCTTAGGCGATCAACAACTTGGTTGATCAACACCCGATAATTGATCGTCATCTTATAGTCCATGAACATTTATTAATGAAACTTCAATTTTGGCATCCTCACAGATGTAAAAATAAAGTATGTTGTGTTTGAAACTTTAACATTTCTGTTGAGATACATACCATTTTATTTAGATACAATTTCCATTTCCTCAATTATTGGTTTGGTGGTTCAGTAATTCATGTAGTAAATTTTTTTAAGTAATTTCCAAAATTTGTTAAGTAGAGCTGACATTCCACATCCCTCTTCTTGCCCCCTCTCTTTCTTTCTATGACGACCTTTCTGAATACCACTGTATAGCAAAAGAACTTATCTTTTGCAAAAACATCAAACCGTCCCATTTTTCCCACACCCAATAATAACACTGAAATACCTAATATCTATATATACCCAATAAGTTACAAAGTTGAGGGGAAATGAATACTTTATAAACTCTGTTTCGACTCGAACCTATATTTTATGACACAAGTCGTCGTACTGTCATGCGGTATCACTGCCTAAAAAGAACTTCAAATAGTGTGAACTACTTAATTTCTTTTTGCACTACTTGTACTTATTTTACTTATTACACGGCAGTCTGTGTACCATCTCTTTCCTTATTATATACATGAGATCCCTCCTATGATATTTTCTTACCTCCAAAGTGTCAGTATTTGAATATCTTCACGTGTTTGCGCTTGAAACACGGTTAGTAACAGTAAATATTACATTTCTTATTAATTGGTTATATACATTACTAGTTGGCCCGCGCGAATCATTCGCAGAAAATTTTGTTTAGTGGAGAAACATCAAAACAATATGGAAATAAGTAGTTCCTATGCATTATGTAAGGAAGGAATTAATACTTTTTCCTTGGTCGATTACAATATTCCATTAAACGTAATAGACAAAAATATTTGTACAAATAGCTTTGCAAGGACCTATTTTTAAACGCTGACTGGAAAGATAATAAAAGTAATGAAGACAAAATAATGCCCCGATCATGGGATATTCTAAATTATTAAAACAAATAAAATGTAAGAACAACCAAATGCCTTTAAGAAATAATAAAGTTAATATATCAGCCAGGAAAAAAAGTGTAGTAGACTATTCTACTCTTAAATGCAACATCTTTAAACAGGAAGACATTATTAAGCATGACAAAACTAATGGACTGTATCTTTGTTAGTAATTGTCCAATTTTTACTATTTTTTTTTTGTTTTGTAGGTAATTTAATAATCTTTGTAAATATCATAGGTACAAAAGAAAATGCTTACTTTTTGAGTTATTCGCAAATAAAAGTTTCTTTTCCTTCATAACTTTTTTCCAGAAATTTTGGGGGAATAGGATTATTTTTCGCATGGGAAGGAGAAGAATATGTTCAAAATGAGTGGTCAATCATTGGATTTGATGAAGAATTGACGAAGTTATGGCGTACCGACAAAAAACACCTTTAAGAAATAATAAATAGGATTCTTTTGTTTGTATAATTTATTACTTATTTCATTTGTATCATCAATCACTTTTTTTTTCATTGTTAACCATTATCTGTCTTATAATATATCCCTGATTGTATTAAACTATTTGCAGCTTTGGTGATGACCCAAATGTTTGGGTTGAAACGTCGGCACCATTAAAAATCTTTAAAATGACTGCATCCTGAATATTTATCACTCATGAGATCTATCAGTGTAGTTTGTAGGTCAATCAAGTGAGCCTGACGCTGTAATATTAATTTTATTGTTTCACAATTATCATTATTCATCAAATGATTTACGCTTTGTTATGTCGAGTTTTATGTAATACGTTATGTATGGCCCGTGCATATATAACATGTACACGATATTACATACTTGTACATGGTGTGCGTTAGCCTCCATGCGGTAGGTGTGCTATCTTGGGAGGAGGAGCTTTCTACTCTGCCCCAAGGTCGGTCCGCTGCGACGCCGTACTCAACGTTCGAGAGAGAGGATGTTTCTAAAATGTTACCAACAATGATTATTCTTTAAATACATGTCTCCATTTATGATATTATGTAATGCTAAATATTCTACAAATTCGAGGTCTTTGAAATATGTTTGTATGTTATAGTAAAATTCTTCAGGTTTGTAGGTATTGTATGCCTAATCTTCAGCTTTTGGAAAATCTGTGGGGAGAAAAATGATTGTTTTAGTATGACTTGAAAACAGACTGTTTCATGAAACAAGCATTTTTAATACATTCTTTTGAATAATTTAAGACAAAATTATTTTAGTTATTTTGATAATTTAGTTCGGCAGTTAATATATGATTCTGAATTATGCGAGTTGTGAAGGAGTATTATCTTTTTACTGTTCTTGATAGCAATTATTCAATTATTAGTAACCCTTTTTTTTTAGTACCCAATCGACACCGTGGTTAGTAATACATAACAAGCTTGTTATTTATTAAAGAGTTTATTTGTTGTGCAATTGTGTTTTGGAATTTTAATTATTAATTTTTTGTAATCTATGCGAAGAATGTCGATTGCCGTCCAATTAGACGCCGACAATATAATGACTTCGCTATTGTAATTAAAATAGTCACGCTTCCTATTTCCTTTCTATTATTATCATCACATGGAAATAGCTTTTTTATAATTGAATAAGTTGCTAAATTTCGCCATATGATCGAAGTTGTATTTATCTATTTGGAGGATTGTTCTCTGCTTAAGATATCTACATGGGTAAACTGCCAGTAGGTTGCATAAGACGTTGATGGGGAGATAACAAGTGCGAAAACAATAGACCTAATTGCTATATTCGTTGGCATTTAACTGAGCAGTGACGGGTGATGTCTCCTAGAGAGCTGACTCATCGCCCTGTAATCCCTGACATCCTCTCCTCGGGCCGCTGCGGTTTACGATTTGTAAACATACGGTAGCTTCATCAAAACTTGTGTTTGTTTACGATTGTTCTCTATGGCGGGACCAATACAAATAATAATAGTCTACTGTTTACGTTGCCTCTTTTTATACTGCTAGTCAATTAAGGATCTTTTTTTTTTTTTCCTTTGCTTGTGATGTTTTGACACCCCCGACTTGTTTGTTTTTATTTTATAATTTTCACTCCTGGGTAAGTGTATTTATTGTTTCATTTTAGCTCCCTATCGATTTCTGAAGTTATTAAATAAGGAAAAGCACCCTTATTAAAATTGCTTGTTTTCCATTACTTTCTTTAGAGATGGTTTGCTTAAACTATTTCGAATCTTAGCAGCGACCATTATTATGTCCTAATAAATTTAGCAATTTTATGATTGAACGTAAGTTGTAAACGTCGCATTCATATGCTTATACCGGTCAAATCAACATCAACGTCCATGTATTGTTTTTTTACATAAGAGCTCCTTTTATTAATGCTTTCATCGACTTACCCTATAATTATACCGCCCGTGCAGCCTTGATGTGGACATTACTATTCAAGAGGTGATCCGAATCCAATCAGCTAATCATTATTGATTGGATATTAATCCAATTAAGGAGATGAGCTGTTAAGTATGGATGAGTACCGAGGCGGTTACGCACAAAGATCATTTAGGCTTAATTAAGTGGCGTGCCGTTGGAAGAGTGCCATTACCACTCAACCGAATAAATGTCCCGACTGATTGTTTTCGAATTGGTTTTCTGTCATTGGGTGATGGATATTTTATCAGCGTAGTTATTCCAGCGGACGCCGAGACCCCCATGGCATGGGCCCCCCCCCCCTAGATGAGAGGCTATGCAGATCTGGAGACCGTTCCCCCAGTGCAGCGGGCCCGAGCAGAGGCGGCGTTGCCACCCGGGCGGTGTAGACGTGGCAACCCCGCGGCTGCTCGAGCGCTGTTGCCGGATCCTCTCCGCCAAGTTTCCCAACGTACTCCTCTCCGTTCTCTCTTACTTTTTTTTTTCTTTTTCGGCTCTACGCGGCTTCATATCTGTTTGTGCGTGTCTTCTCCGATTTATGGGGACATTTTTTTCCCATCGGGGGCTATCAAAAACAATCCTCTTGTCAATCAACATTCTTTCTCTTCTACCCCATGACTCTATTTCTTTTTTTATCGTTTTGTTTTCCCATCTGCCCCTTTCTCAGCGAGTATTCCAATACCCACGGTGTTGTCGTAGGCGATAATTATTGTCCATTTTTATTGCAGTATTAGTAATATTGTTTACTGGATATGGTTGTTCTTCTGATTATCAGCTACTTACTCTAACTAAATATATCTATTATACTTTAGAAATTATAAAATTATGTTAACAACATAAATATAGTATTATCATACCTTGTAAATAAATTTAATTTCACTATACAAGCATCTGACCGCAACCGTCCTCATGCACTTCAAAAAATAACTCATAATTATTATTAAAGTAAATGATATTTATTATAATATATTTTAACATCTTTATTCATCTTCCACAACGTTAATTTCTTACATATAAACTTTTTTTTATGGTACGTATTGTTCATGTAACTTTCTATAAAATATAGTTGAAATTTATAATGAGATTTCAAAAGCGTATTTTTGAAAGAACTGAAAATGAACCTCGAGAAAATGTGTTACGACGTCAACGTTATCACGCATGCGCCTTCGACCGTTTTCTCCCCGCATAACAGTACTGTGGAGTGTTATTCCGTGAGGCGAATTTAACCGTTTCTATTAGTAAATGTTATAATACGCATCGTTTTTTGCACCTTAACTATAATAAAGTACTTAAATAGCATAATGGAGTGATGCGATGTTTCTTATACGATGGTAGTCGTAATCAGAAGAATTCTTGTAAGATATATTTGTTAATATATTGATTAATCCATGTTAGTTAATTTATTTTTGTTATCATATTAGTTAAATAATGCAACATAAGGAAAAATAGTCTATTCCTAAGCCATGGTATGTAATAAATTATGTTGCGTTTCCGCACACTACCTACAGTAAGGTATAATATAAATTCATTTTTTTCTCGTATACTTTAACTAATTTAAAATTAATGTTGGGCAAGTTCCTAAACTCAACAATGAGCTCATTTGAAGGCCCTCTGAAATCCCTAAGACCTCTCCTAAACTCATTAATGGATCTGTTAATGAAATTCCACGTGTTCCATCGTCTTTGTCAATCGATTGAATTTCTGATGCCTCAGCGGTTCCATCGACTTCTGGGGTCTCGATAGATACGCTGTATGTAACCTCATTATAACCTCAGTGTTGTTATTTCTCAATTTATTGCAAATATTTGTATTCAGTTTACTTTCTATTTAAATATATTTCCGATTTAAAAATCAACAATTCATTAGGTAACTATTTCTTTCTCTTATTTTTATTTTTCATGTTTTTGTAACCTTTCTGGAGTTTGAAGCTTCCGCTGTAATGCGGCAAGTCGTTCCTAAACTTAGCATTAATCACTGTCTATTGGTCGATTGATGGATTCCATTGATTGAATTAGCGCTATCCACAGTTAACTATTTCTAAATTTTATTACCTTATTTTTTTTAATTGTTATTATGTATCGTTAGTTATTTTAACTAACATTAAATTTTACATCCTTAACCATCCTTCTCCAACTCTGCTAATCTTGGGCTCTTGCTTCTCTCAGTTCTTTGTATGCAGCTCTGTTTTTTTGGTGTAGATGCATGAATGAATGATAAAAACATTATTTCTTTACAACTTTTTCTTAAAATGTATGAAAAAAAAAAGTTTAGTTTTAAAGATTCATATAAATACGAAGGTTCCCAAAGTGCAAAACCCATTAAGCCATATTAGTCCTTAAAAGTAATCATTTTGGTATTCCCCAACTTCTTTTGGTTGCGGATCTATTCGGTGAGGGAAGAAGACGCCAGCATGGAGAATCGAAGCTGGGACGGCGATAGATAACTCGCAGGGGATATGGGATGACAGGACAAGAGCCCCCTGAAAAGAATTTGGTATCCTCTTGGACACGTCACGTCAGGTCTGGTTCAATGGACCAGGGCATGGGACTATGAATGGAGACCCTCCTATCATCGTATTGATAACGGCGTCAATCAACTGTCGCTAGCAGTTGCAAGGAGGGGGTGTCTGTCGCCCTTTATCTAGTCTGTCTGTATTAGTGGGAGTGCTTCATCCGATCCGGGTGTAAACCGTTTCAAAAATTATCAGCAGTCTGTTTGATGTTGGTAAATATGTCCACCGATTAAAATATCCCTCCCGTAAAACTTATACCTCATAACTATAAACCCAGAAAACTGTACCTTACCAAATCACATTATTAACAGGAAATGTGATTGGGAAAAAATCTTTTTGATTCTGACCTTAATAAAATAGTCCAGATGTTAACATTTTTCATTTGTGTAGTTACACCAATAAAATCGATATTTGCATAAAGGAAAACACAAGTAAGTTTGAACTATACTAGAATTCAACTGACAACGAACTTCTACAAGGTTGAGGTTTCACTTTTCAAGTAACAATAAAAAGTTCATATTAAGCTAAAAACATGGAATAATAGTACCTCTTGAAGGTATGATGGGATTCGGGGTGTGGCCTCAATCCACCGTGGTGTGACTTATATCACTGCTACTTAACATGCTATTAAACTTCTCTTAGTCGTATCTTTATCAACATGCTTTTATAATATGTAATAAAATAGATTTTATTGCAATTAAATATTTATATATAGAGACGACAGAGTGAGAGAAAAAACGGAAAGATACTTTTTGTGTTTAAGTTTTGATGATAGAATAGAAATATTAGTATAAGCCAGGGGTCTCCAAACTTCCGACCTGCTAGCACCTTCAATCTGGACCGCGAAAGTTTATTTGATTAGATTTCTTTGATTTTTGGTCACTAGCCATGGCCCGCTGGACTTAGGTGGAAGTCTCAATAAGGCCCGCGGAACATAGTCGAGGTCTTAATGTGGTCCGCTGGCCTAAAAGTTTGGAGACCACTGGTCTTATCTAAAAGGTATAAGATGCACAAGGCCCTAAGGAATAGAAGCTAGGCCCTAGCATGGTATGACGTAACTCCACCCTCGTGGCTTAGCTCCGTCCCCACCACTTTTCTTTAATTCTAATTATCTTGGCAAATGTGTATCCAAAAAATTAAGAACTTTTGGCGTTTTTATTGTTGTAACCTAACCTTGAAAATGCATGCAATTGCTTAATTCTCAGGATTTCTGATGTTAGCTCTTTACTAGTTTTAAATATATTCTCATAACTACAATTTAAACATGTTTTATTGTTTAGTTTTATACATAAATTAATTAATTATATACATTGAAAGTATACAATTGCTTATTTCGCTCAATTCAGATAGATTAAAATATTTATTGGAAAGGTAGCGGTAAAAAACAAGTAGAGACAGCTCCACAGGGCTAGGACATCGTCAGTTAAGCTGGAGAGTTATTATTCACCAAGATAATAATACAATATTTAGAAAAATATAATATTAAATAATAATTAATCTATTATCTGAAGTAAAAATTAGAATATAATAAAATTTATTTAGTAATATAATATTTTGTCACTTGGACAATAATTATAGGGAGGTAAGACCACATTCATACCATATATACAGAAAACTTAAAATAAACATAAGAAAAATAACAATTAAATAATCAAAAAGTATATACAATGAATGGAAAAATCCAAACTACAAAGCCAAAGTTTTATGCTTATTTTTGTAATATATATAAAAAAAATAATTTAAGAATTACTTTTAAAAGATAAGTAAATTTAAAAAAAAAAACATTAAATCCTATATACACTGCAAATTCAATTCATAATTTCTTTCAATACATGGTTTAAATTAATTGTATAAATGATCTTTCAATTTTGAATAGTAGCTATTAACAAAGTCGATTGTTTTTTGTTTCTTTCTTTTCTGTTTGGGTTCCACCAAACTCTGTTTTCATACATTCAACGAAAATTCCAAGTACTATTAAGTATATTGACGAAAATTGACTTGACCTCTTATCTTACGAGTTCGCTCTATATTAATTTATTTGTTGTTTGTTATCCTGTTAATCTTCTTTTCTTTGTTACTCTCTTCACACAACTTCTTAGATCAAACTTTTCTGGACGCAGAAGCGGTAAAAGAACTCTTTAAGGCCGCGCAGGGCGTCCGGTAGGAAAGATCTTCATATATCTTAAGCTAAAGATTTCGAGGTGTCTTAAGAACTTTATTTTAAAAAAGTTCAATTTATACTCTTCAAGAGACTAATACCTTTTCTGGGAGAGGGTGGATTTTTCAATTGTTTCCATTTTTATCTTTTGGTTGGGGGGAGGGGAGAGAGAGAGAGAGGAGTTCCTCCTCATTAATTTTATGGATGGTGTATACCATTACTTATTTATTCATCTCCTCCAAGTTATATAAATATGTATATGGTTTACATGTATTTGTAATATATAATATAAAATATATATTATGTTGCAGGACCTTACGGGACAGAACAGCAATGACAGCTCCAGCGGTGGGGGCCCCGCCCCCGGGACCCCCAATAGCGGGGGAATGAGGCCTACCCCCTCGCCCACGGGGTCTACTGGTTCTAGGTCTATGTCACCTGCCGTCGGTGGTGAGTCTTGTATTTTATAATATGCATTGTATAACATAAATGTATTGTAATTAGCATTAAATATTGTCAGAGTTTGGAGTGCGTTCGTTGTTGATTAGGCAAGCTGCCAGTCTCTGAGGTCAATTCGAAGAGTCAACGAGAATAGTTGAGTAATGAATCACCAAATAATTATTTTTCTGCACTTTCATCAATGATTCATTCATCGTCGTGTCGACATGTTTTGTTTTGTTTTTCAAACCGTTAGTTCGTAGTCTCTGTCTGCGGGTGAAATTGGATATTATGCTTGTGTTTCTCATGTGTAGTTGCCTTGTAGTAAAATGATTATTAAGCTTTATATAGTTACTGTGAAGGTGATTCGCGTAAGCAGATGTGCTCACTCAACTTGCGCATAGCGCTCTAACTTTTTTTAACTTAGTAAAAATATTAATAAGTTCTTGCTACCTCTTACTATATATATATAGTTTAAGAATTGCATTTAAAAATATAAGAATACATATTATACTTACAAAATTGTGTATATTACATCTCATGTATGATTGGTGTCATTATTTTTTCTATAAAAAATAAATTTGCGACTGTCAACATATTGTTGACAATCAGTAAATATGCTGGTGATACAGGAAATAATGACATGACAGGCATAGAGATTTTAAATGATGTGTCATTTGAATGATATTTTTAAATTTTAAGTCTTGTTCAAAATAAATAAACAAATATATATTCTTTGGAAACCAGTAAGTCGTTTTAAAAATAATTCAAATAGAAATTATCGCCAATATGTTTTCATTACCTTCGCAATTGGCCTGCACGCTGCTCCCTTTCCATCCTGGAACTGGAGGATATTCCCCAAGAGTTTCCGGACAGACAAACGTCGAGGCCTGATTTATGTTCGGATAGGATAATCAGTGATAAGAGCGATGCAAGAAATACCGCAGAGGCGAGGGTGTAGGGTCATTAGTCTGTTTCTTCCTTATCTTCCGCCCTCCAGTTCTTCTGCAGCATTTTCCCGGCTCGGCGTCATTAGAAAGGGGTTTGTTGGCTTCGGCCTCAGCTCGGAAGCGCTTAAACCCCTAAGGGATTAAGAGTAGTTTCAAATCGTTATTTGATGTCATAGTTTTACTAGCATGCTGGGTTTACCTACTACCTATAACCGGAGAATAATAAAAATTCTGCTTTCATTTGAAGTGTATGGAAATATTTTAATAATTCATTAAAACCAATTAATGCTCCAACAATGCATATATTTTTCGTCTTGGGCTTCTTTTTATATATTTTTTTATCTATCTTTACTCCTGTTTATGAATAACCATGTCTGCATTTGTACATGTCTCCTAACCACTTTTATTGTTTCGCCTTCTTATTCTGATCTATCTATCAATAGCAAAAATAATTCCAATAGTCACTATTAGCAAAATTCTCATTGTTGATCAGTTGTTAAAAATTGTCCACCATTGTTGTTGGTGAACTTGAACAACCCGAAAATGATCTTTTTAATAAGGTTCCGTTATTAAAAAAATATATTGATAAGGATATAATTTTTAGCTAAGATAGAACTTATTGAAATTTGTAAACATGTTGGTTACAAACATTAATTAAGATTTAAATTAATTTTTGTTTCCTTTGTCGATTGTAGAAATAGAAATAGAAATAGAAATAGAAAAATAACTTTATTCTGGGACACAGTCCCTTGAGAATAACAAAATAGAACAAAACTGAAATATTACATCTGGCCAAAATAAAATCAATCGAAAAAAAGAAATAATGTAAAAAAAATATAAGGTAAAAATTCTATATACAAAACAAACTAAACTATATACAAAACCATTAATACTATGACAAGACACTTAAAGCTGTTTGCTCTTATAGACTAGTATACACTTTTACGAAAAAAATAAAGAATTAAAAAATAAAAATGTATCAAGTTCTCTATTAAAATCAGCTCGAATGGTTAGCAACTATCTGACTGTTTTTGGGATAGGAATTGGAATAGGAGGGTTTTGAATGTGGATATAGATGGGGAATGTCGAATTTTGATAGGGAGGGAATTGACAGAGCGAACAATTAAGGAATTTTGGAATGAGGCAGATCTGTGAGAAGGCATGTAAAGGTTAGAAGGTCGAGATCTTGTTGACAGGGAATGGACTGAGGATTTGAACTGGAGAAGGTTGTAGGCGTAAGAAGGACGATGGTTGTTGATGATTTGGTAGAGGAACGTACCTAGGAAATATTGTCTTCGGAAGGAGGGGAAAAGCCACTTTAACTCAGCGTAGTGGTGAGAAACATGGGAGTATCGTGGGGCCTCGATCACAAATCTTACGCAGCTGTTCATTAGTGTAATGAATTGTATTTATGGATAAAGTAACAATTGATTTCTTTATATTTTGATACGTTGCATTATTTTATTTTCTTATTAATTTGGCATTTGAAAACAATATGCTGTGCGAATTTTTCGCACGGGCCTACTAGTAGAATATTTAATTATACTCGTAGCTAATTAAGAAGGCAAACCTTGTTACTATATCTGTTGATAACCTCAATAAAAAAAGTATAAGGAAATAACGAATCGTTTATCAATGCCCTTTGTATAGTCGAGAGAATGCGATAAGCATTAAATTCATGGGTGGATTCTTCTTGAATGGAGAAGACTGTATTTGAAATAGTATAGGGAAGGAGGAGATCCATTGAGGACGGGATAGATGAGATATGTTCTAAACTAGGACCGGTTAGAGCAGATAACTTGGAACCGTGAACGTATTGACCCACTAACAGCTGATCCCGCTTCCACCTTCCGTATTTACACACAATAGCTTCCATCGCTCTGTCTCCACCTCCGCTTCTATCGGCTCACTTACCCGTCCTCTTCGTCATTTCGTTCAAAAAGTCATCCGTTTCTAGCTTGCGAGTTGCAACAAAGCTTTCAAGCATCTGGCTTGAATTAATTATCCTTTTAAGAGTCCCTTTCAGAATCATTAACAGACCGGATAAGTTCCGTATTGCTCTATTCCTCCTATTTTACTTTTTCAACCTCTAATAACTGGCTTTTCGAAAGCGAAGGTTGCTGATTCAAATAATGGCAGAACAATGCCATTATTATGTGTTTATCTAAGTTTTATATGGAAGTATAATAATGTTATTTATATTTAGTTTTTTTTTTGCAATGAAAAATTTATTTGCGATATAAATACATAAATATAAATAAATATAAGAGAATATAAATATAAGATAATATAAAGATATAAATGACATGAGGAATGAAAGAATCCAGTAGCACCTCTATCCGGACTTGTTTCAATTACTTAGGTTTTTGGAGACAAACGCTCTAAACTGCCAACTGTTTACAAAAGACTCATATATATTACTATAATAAGGTCTATTTGGACTTACGGGATCGAGCTTTGGGGCTCTACTAAACCATCAAATTCCTCTCGTATCCAATCCCTACAATCCAAAATCCTTCGTAAAATCCTTAATCACAAATAAAATCATCCATAATGACCTTAATGTACCATATGTTTGCGATTTAGCTCAATCCAGATACCTGTACTTTCATAATAAAATTCTGAACCAACCGAACCCTCTCGTTTCCAACCTTGCTTCCTCTTCTATTCCTGATAACCCTCCGGGGCATCTCAAAAGAAGAGGGCCTCGGGACCTTCTAATATAGAAATATAATTGGAGTGCTACCAATGGGTATTTCTCTTCATGTTGTACATGTCATATTACCTGTTCATATTTACTTGTTGTATTTATTATTAATTACAGTTGTAAATTTCTTTAATAAAGAAAAAAAGAAGAGGTTTTTGGAGATCTCTCATCCAACGCCTAAGAAAAGAAATGCTAACACAGGCTATCTAAGACACACGAGAACTTTTAGCAAGCAAAAAACCTCGTTTTTGCAAGGGTTTTTTTTCTCCTTTAACTTCTGAACGATTCATCCAAACGAATTTAATAAAATAAAAATATGTGACTAAATAAAAATAACACAAAAAAATTTAAAACAAATATTATTAATCAGTAACACTGTAAAAAATATAAATAATATAAAGTGAATTAATATTTTTTTAAAGTTTAAATTATATGACAATTACTTGTAGAAGAACAACTCATTGCTAGGTCTCCAATAACAATTCTATGTTTGCAGGTTCCGAGGCCAACTCCTTTTCTCACGCCTTGGAGCCATTGACACTTGAGTTCATTCTTTTGCTACAATTCCTTGTAACACAAAAAAATTCCGACTTGTGTTAGTCTTTCGGGTGGTTTATCTGACATTTTACCACAGAATGTAGTGGCTACATTTTGTCACTTACGCGTTCCACTGTTTTAAGTAATGGATAGCACCGTTGTAAACCTTCAGCCAGCTCTACTGTAAAGCGGCTTTTCGCCTTTTTTTATTTTATCGTATGAAATGACAGGATAGTGATGGACATGACGATATAGATGATATTTTCTGCCGAAAATTCTCCTGACAACGAATATCGCGGAAACATGAGTCTGCGGATGAATAGAGTTTGATAAATTGAGTGAGAGGTAGGTAAACAAAAATAGAGGCAGACATCGGAGGGGGATTTCAGAGAGATTGATGGTTCTTTTATTAGGTCATCGATAGGAGGACGGCACTCAGTCCTTCAAAACAGGGGTTGTTCTTGTAGTTAAGGTTCTTCTTCGGAGGGCTGGAGGAATCTCTAGTGTATAGTTTTCTTGCAAAATTCATAAGGATATATTTTCTCTTAATTTGCAGCCATTTTTTAAATAAGCTTCAAAGTATCCGTCCCAACAAGTAGTGCTGTTTTTTTTTAATTTTCAAAATATAACCGTTTTGTTTTACTTATGGAATGCCCTTTCTATTAGGTATATTACCAATAACTTGATTTTATCGGATAACTTGGATCGCTATATTTTATGTGAAAATTAACATACATGCTATGGATTGTGTGCCCTCAGAGATCAGATTAAAAGTGATTAGTGTGTTAATTAAATTTTGGATTGAATCATTACAATGTTTCATACACTGGTTGGTTGGAGTCTGATAATCTTGCATTTTCTACTTGCTGTTTCGAATGAATGAAAAAATAATTTTATTCTGGGAATACAGTTCTCTAACTATAATAACAGAGTTATTATATATTTATTAGTCTTAGTCTGCCT